CCTGGAAATGATTTGGAGTTACTGGAGAATACTAGGATTATTGTAAGTCGCCACTATATCGATCTATACAAGAATATTATGCACGACCCTGTTTCTAGATGTTCGTACTTCCACTGATAAATAGTGTTGATGCAAGTGGAAAGATCAGGATTGGAAATGGAGACGTTTCTAGAAGGAAAATCGACTAAGAGAAGACTTGGCGTCTTTATCTAAAACCATCTTAGGTTTTGATAGTATTGGCGTATTATCATGAAACACCTGATTTGCCGTCGAGAAGTATCCCATGAGAAAGCTTGCATATTCCATTTACCAGGGACCATTGCTGATACATTCAAAACCTTACATCATGAAGAATAGAGACCAGGAGGCCGAAGTATCATGGCCGATTCCTCAGAATATGCGACCAAACGTGGTTCCTTGAACTAATTACCTCGTTGTGAATGGGGGCGCTTCATCAGTGGTACTCGGGCTCATATACATACTCCGTACAATTGTATTAGTAGGAGACTATATCCCTGGATTCGATTTGTCATCAAATGTTATTTAAAAATTCCAAACCTAAGGTTATATTATCATAGTAATGTTATAATATAATCATTTCAAAAAATTAATTACCAGCATTTTCTGCTTGAAAATATTCCTTTATTACACACATTGCATGTTTCAAATTATACAATTTGGCAAACAAAGTGATTTATAAAAATCTCAATTTATTTAGTAATTCTATGACCGTAGCCAGGTGATTGAGAGATTTTATTCTATCACATATTAACCAGGATATGACTTCGCTGTTATATAAAATTGTTGCATTGAGAGAATCGTCTATGACAATTTTCTTTCTTTCTTCCCCATTTTCCAAGATTTCCAAAAATAATACACATTCGTCATATTTGACTGCTGCCCAATTGGGGATCTCTTGACTATTTTCACATTATTATGTAAAGCAACAAAACTAAATGGCACACTCTATAGTTACGTCCTCCATTGTTCGCGAAAGTACAAAATTCGTATACACAATTAATTCTTAAATGTTACATACAATTAATTTTTTAATTTAATATACACAAGCCTGTACACCTACATACTCACACAGACAGCATTCCCCCACTACTGCCATTCAGTAAACCGACCGAAGCGCCACCAATAACTACCTCATGACCCCGACTGTGGTCTTGCTTCGGAAAACGTTAGTTCGGCCTCCTGGTCTCTATTCTTCATGCCTCACATAATAAGAGCATCAAAATGAGCTGAATGAGTCGCACCAACTTTTCAGAACAGAGGGTGGTGCAGCCGCCCGAGGACTAGCGTAGTCGTCCGATGCACATAGCCGCCTGATTTTTCCACGAGTAGCATATATTATTTTCTATCACGAGTTTCCCCTGGCACTTCTGATCTGTCATGCCTCACTAAAGCCGCCCGATCATACGCAGAAGTGACATAAAAATATATTAAATGCAGCCGACGTACTGTTGCTCAAGTGAATAGATGCAAGTCTGCTTCGCGGANCAGCCGACGTACTGTTGCTCAAGTGAATAGATGCAAGTCTGCTACGCGGAGGATCTGAGTTTGATTCCGCGCTCGGGTGAATTCTTCAGTGATATTTTTTATTGTAGGATTCACATGCGGAGTTTTGTCTTTTGCCCAATCGGCACCAGTATAGGTTTTCTGTGGTTTCTTATATCACTCCCTTCAGAGAGGGCATTGAAGCAGCGCATCGTAGAAACTGGTCACAGATTCAACCACCCTGCAGGGGAGAAGATCAATAATTCAGTAACGGCCATAATAAAAAAAAAAATATATACATCCACTCTTTATTCACGGTTACGCAGAAAATTTATTTAGTATGAAAACAGTAGGAGGAATAATCTAAACTCACTAAAACACCAAAATGAAGTTAATGAGTCTCCGTTGAGTTTCGATAAGTTGGCTTAACTGAATTTCATCCTTTTCTACTATATAGATAACATATCGAATTCTTTGATGTCTAGATGAGATTGAAAAGTGTATTGACCAGTCTTACTTCAATAGATTTGTTTAAGATGTTTAAAGTAAGACTATCCCTTTATTTGGGAGTGTCCAAATGAAGCATGTATTCTGCAATATACCTGCGATTATGACACTTGCCCTATATGGGATATAGCCATTCAGGAGAAAAAAAAAATACCTGCGAGAACGAGTATTTCGTTAATAAAAGTAATTGGAGAGACAACGATTTTTTCCTCATGTATTGCGAACATCCATGAAAGTAGCTCGCCGTCGCGCACTAATCATTCAGAGATGAACGTAATTGTAAGTTTTCCTCACACTTACGAATATCAGTGGAAGTCGGTGCACTCATACTTCACTGATGATCGTAAGTACAAGTATGCAATCCCTTTCTTTGCTTCAAACTACTTCATTTTATGAAATGCTCGCTCTGGGTCCGATAATTTGTTGAAATCTCCGAGTCCTAGGAGTTGAGTGCACAAACAGAATTTAAGTCACGCTTAATATTTGAAAGTAAGTGTAAACGTGGCAAGCCTTCCTTCCTTTCTTCACACATTGCGGACACCGATGGAAGCAGTGCACTGCCGCGCACTAACGTTGCACCGATGAACGTAATTGTAAGTTTTCCTCACACTTACAAACACCAGCGAGAGTTGGCGGTGCACATTCGCGCACTCATACTTCTCTGATGATCACAAGTGTAAGTACGGAATGTACTTAAATAAAAAAATTTCATTTGAATTATTTTTTGAGACTTATATTCGGTTCCAACCATAAGCTTCGATAAGTCTACGATCACTGAAAGTTAACGGTAGAGATAAAATTTAAATCACGCTCGACAATATAACCGCGTATATTAGTATTTCGCTATGGAGACTAAGAGTGAACTTGGTGAACCCTTCCTCACACATTGCGGACACCGATGGAAGCAGTGCACTGTCGCGCACTAACGTTGCACCGATGAACGTAATTGTAAGTTTTCCTCACACTTAAAAACACCAGCGAGAGTTGGCGGTGCACATTCGCGCACTCATACTTCACTGATGATCACATGTGTAAGTACGAAATGACTAGCTTCGTTCTGATTCAATAGTTTCATTTTATAAATTCTTTTACGACTAGAGATACCAAAGCGCGCTTGATGCGCGTTCCATAAGATTGTATATGTTTTCCCATGATATAATAAATGAACATTTGATCCACCTTCTAACTGTTCTTCAGAATTGTGGTAATTTTGCTCGTGAGCGAGTAATCACAACAAATATTATACTAAAAATGCCAACTGAAATGCAAAAATCTACAATTTTTTTACGTCTCATTCCTTCGATGGATTCGATTTGGCATCTATACCCTACCGAAGGGTGCAGCTAGGTACATAGAAGTCTACGCGTTCGGCGTCCGAGGTAGACTATCGTCAAGAGGCATATTGTTTGCTCTATCATCTAGACTCCCCCTCGTCGTTCAAAGAATGATTCTTAGTTCGCTGCATCATCCTGGTATCTTTCAATCTATTCTTTATGCGAAAGGCGAAGAATAAGACTAACAACGAAAAGTAAGAACCACGCATGGAGCATATGTAATGATACTAGTAAGATAATTATTGAAAATGATTAGCTGAATACATACATACATTGAGCACAATAATATACTCTATGGACTTGGATGAAAACATCTTGAGAAGGTCGATTATTGGTTGTATACACCATGTCCTTTTTTTTTTAAATTATTTACGCCCTTTCTACCCCTTGGGTTAATTGGCTATGCGTCTGTAGCCGACTTATACACTGCACCGCTTTAGACGCCCTCCCCGAAAGGAGTGACACAGAAACCACAGAAACCTATGCCGGTGCAGGCGGCGGCATTTAGTCGCAGACTTTCTATCAGCCTTCCGCTCGTACAGGGCCTGGATGGCTGGGGGCAGATAAGAGACATCGTAGGTGAATTCCTCGGTAAATATCCCTGAAAATATTCCCCGAGAAATTCACCCGAGCCGGGTATTGAACGCAGGCCGCCCGCGTGGTAGCCTAGCGACTAAGCGACTCGACCACCGTACGTCGGTATACACCGTATCCCATAACCTCCGACTTTATTTAGAGGGTGAAATTTGGAGTTGAACGTTCCTTTCCAACTTTGTTGTACGGCGCCGCCCTGTCAAGTTATTCAACTTCAAAGTTGACTAATTACAGCGTGGCTCCGCCCACTGGGCAAGTGGTTCTCATCTCAATCTTTGCTAAAAAAAATTGTTATTTCGAAAATTTCTCCCCATTACCTAGCAGACGATGATCGAAAATGGATCAAACATCAGGATGAAGATCAGCGTCAGCTCCAGGTAGAGTATTGAGATCCAGGAACGGTTCCTGATGAAGTTCGAATTCCTGGGAATGATGCGAGTCGACATCAAATTCCAGGAACTGTTTCAGGAAGAGACCGAGGTCCACGAAATACTCCAGCTACATCTTCATGTCCGAGGATTGGTCTAGGTGGAGGTTAACGCCCGGGATGCGTTCCAGGTGAAGTTCTAAGTTCGGAGGCTCTTCCAAGTGGAGCTCCAAGTTCAGGGACTGTTCCAGATAGTAGTTTAGATGCAGATAGTAGCTTAGGAACAGTTCCATGTGGATGTCCAGATTCGGGAACTGTTCTCAGTCCCCAAACCTGCACGGCAACCTGGAACAGTTCTCCTACATGGACATCCACTTGGAACAGTTCCCAAAACTAGGTTACCGGTCGGAACAGTCCCCGAACTTGGAAATCTACATGGAATAGTTCCTGAACCTAAGCTACTATCTGGAACAGTCCCCGAACTTGAACAGTTCCCGAATCTAGGTTACCACCCAGAACAAAAAAGTTTAAGAGGAACTGTCGACTCCAAATTTCACCCTTTATCCACGCTCAAAAATAAAGTCCGCGGTTATGGGACACGGTATATATGTAGATAAATTCATCAGATACAGTGATACATCCAATTCAATATTTCAAGTACTCAATACCTGTATGTATATCATCCAATAATTTTTTTATAATTTTCTTACGATGTTGTTTTCCGCCTCGTCTGGTTTTTTCTTTTTCCTGGGTGGTTCTCCATTCCCCTCTACCTCCATAGCTGCTCCGCGAGGTACCGCATGGTCCCGTGGTGCAATGTCCCCGAGGGCCGCTGGCTCTGGCGCTTCTGGAAGTGCATCATCAACTGGTTCGGCAGCTCTTCGCATAGGAGCTGGGAGTGTTCTTAGGCGTGGATGCTCTTGGTGCCTCCTCAAAGGAACCGGTGCCTCACCAGATGTCACCTGAGGCTGAGGTACAATCTGTTCTGGTGGAACTAGCTGTGGGGCCGGCAGTATCTCTGCCGCTGCCATGTCAGGAACGGCCTCATCAGCTAGTTCGGCATTTAGCTGGATGGGAGCTTCCAGTGGTACTCGACGGGGACGCCCGCGAGATCTTGTCGCAGGAGCTGGTGCTACTGCAGGAACTGCGACATCAGCATGTTCGGCATTCGGCTGGATGGCAGCTTGCAGTGTACCCTGGCGTGGATGTTCTTGGTGCCTCCTCAAAGGAACCGGTGCGTCGTCGAGTGCCACTCGGCGATGAGGTGCAATCTGTCCTGGTGGAACTAGTTGTGGGGCCTGCAGTATCTCTGCCGCTGCCGTGTCGCAAACTGCCTCATCAGTTAGTTCCGCATTCAGCTGGATGGGAGCTTCCAGTGGTACTTGACGAGGACGCCCACGAGATCTTGTCGCAGGAGCTGGTGCTACTGCAGGAACTGCGACATCAACATGTTCGGCATTCGGCTGGATGGCAGCTTGCAGTGTACCCTGGCGTGGATGTTCTTGGTGCCTCCTCAAAGGAACCGGTGCGTCGTCGAGTGCCACTCGGCGATGAGGTGCAATCTGTCCTGGTGGAACTAGTTGTGGGGCCTGCAGTATCTCTGCCGCTGCCGTGTCGCAAACTGCCTCATCAGTTAGTTCCGCATTCAGCTGGATGGGAGCTTCCAGTGGTACTTGACGAGGACGCCCACGAGATCTTGTCGCAGGAGCTGGTGCTACTGCAGGAACTGCGACATCAACATGTTCGGCATTCGGCTGGATAGGAGCTTGCAGTGTACCTCGGCGTGGATGTTCTTGGTCCCTCCTCAAAGGAACCGGTGTGTCGTCAATTGCCACTCGTGGATGAGGTGCAATCTGTTCTGGTGGCACTAGTTGTGGCGCCTGCGGTATCTCTGCCGCTGCCGCTTGGGGAACTGCCTCATCAGCTAGTTCCGCATTCAGCTGGATGGGAGCTTCCAGTGGTACTCGACGGGGACGCCCGCGAGATCTTGTCGCAGGGGCTGGTGCTACTTCAGGAACTGCGACATCAGCATGTTCGGCATTCGACTGGATGGGAGTGTTACGTACCCTGTACGTGGGTTATACGACGTACGCAACTGTTTCAATTTTGTTTTTCTTTATATTCTTTCAACCGAAGAATATTCCCATATGTTACCTCGAATTATTTATCGCTACAGTATCGTTAATGTCACAATGTGATATGACAAATGTGAAGAGTTAATTAAACTTCGGTTATCAAGAGCATCACAATAAGTGGCCTAATAGAGAGTTAAAAGTGTGATTCATACTAATGAGTTGGAGCACTTTAGGATTGATACGAAGACTATGGACAACTGTCGCCAGGTAAAAAACCAGAAGGAACAGCCAAGGTGGCACGCGCCTATTCCAACTGCTTGGAAAAACCTGACATCTGATCCTGTGGATAACTTGCGGCTAGGCCATAAACATAAGATAACCATCAACAGAAATTTGACCATAATGGGCTTTTGCACTTAAATTAATAGCCAGGCTAGTGTTGTGGTAATTATTCCCATGGAAACGTGGAAAAGCCGAAAACCCACCCAAAAGGGCTACCGGTGACATAGAAGTGGAAATTGGGGCGGAGTTGTGACCAATCATCGAATTGTCTAGTCAAATCGGACAATTAAGAAGCTTTTGGTTGGATGCGCAGGCCTAATTAAGACAGGAGGCAGGACTCATAAGACAGCCCAAAACCTCAGGTTTTTACTATAAAAATGGCTGCAGGAGCCAGGGAGAGTTAGTTCGAAGCCGAGAACTCAGAACCAGGAGGTCCTAATTATCATCAGTGTCTTAAAACCACCCAGTACAAAGTAGTGCTCCCCAATTAACTTCAACTGAACGAGTCAACTACAAGAATCTCTGAGGCCAGAGTCGATAGCATCCGCTATCCCACCACCAATTCAGCGAGGACGACCAACTCCTAGGCCCTCTCCGGCCCTGTTGAGTGACTCGATTATCGACCGCCCACTCGCCACCCACCGAAGGTCATCACGCAGAGCCAAGCTGAGTCACGCGATTCAACTGAACCCCCGCTGAGCGTTAACTGAGCAATCCCTGTCCAACCCTTCCACCAACTGTAAGTGTCTATGTCCACAATTATCCAACTCATTTATTTCTCTCTTTTCCTGTTTTCCCTCCGACGGTTTTTACCCTGGGTTTTCGTGAAATTACTCCAATTACGAAATAAATAGTGCAATCGGTATAATTTGGTCAGTGTTTTCCTTTACGCGGAATATCGTTGTTGTATTTTAATACTTAATCCCGAACATCACGGTCCCACCTTAGATTTCACAAAAGAAGGTAATTATAACATCGTTAACCTCATCATCATCGAGACGACCAGTTCGTGACCAGTGACGGTCAGGTAAGAGCTGACAGGTAGATTTTCTCTCCCTCTCACTCCAATCTAAACCCGGTTGTCCGTAACAAAATTTTGGCGCCCGAACAGGGACACGATGTTTTAAAAAAAAGGGACGATGGTAGGTACGCGTAGCGGGTTAACACCAATAGTCAGGACCGATCCTAAAAAGAGTAAAATCGGTGTCACTTCCCAAAGTTTAAACGATTTGAACGAGGGGAATTTAAATTCAAGTATGCCGTTAGCACGCACCCCACCCGCAGGAGGAAGGTCGAGCGATGACGGGAGATTTCTAGGTGAAACCACTGAGTCTAGTACCGAAGGATTGGAAGAAAACGCGTCAGTGGTTGTAGATACTTCAAATAGTGAGACCAATCCTGTTGATTCTGTTAAAACTTCGAACTCATTACCATCTTCTATTACTACATCTAAAGTTATCGAACCCTCGGGCACTCTTCAGAAAACTAATGGTTCAATTAGCCCAAAATCTTTATTAGATAACGTACAATTTCTCGATAAATTACATAAAAATGAAGATATTTCTCGAGACCAATTAGATGCATTCAAATTATATATTCGGAACGAGCAAGATGCTCTCCAACAAATTCACCGTGCAGGTGTACTCATGAAATTGTATGAGCAAATTCATAGGCTTAGTCCAGAATCCCTTACACTGACTCTTATTCAAAGTTTTCTGGACACCTATCATCCTGAGCATAATAAAGATTATGTATACAGGCCTCTACCCCTTATTCAAAATCAATCTTCGAGCATAAACGCTCTGCCACTTGCAGGAAACCCATCACTTTTTACTAGCGGGTTTAAGCCAGTTGCTCCTGCAGGGGTTTCTTTCAGTGAAAATCCTAATTATCACAATCCTAATTCTTTAAATCCAAATTACTATTTCTCAAATAAGGGTCTCAATTCGGTGAACAATTATCCACCATTCTTGGGCAATAACGCCCCTCCAGTTGATAATCAAATAAACGAGCGTCAAACGACCTCCTCATTTCAAGCGGATCAATCGAAAAAGGAACCGCCCAACGGTCTCACCTCGCTTACAGATTTCTATCGGGCCATGCCCATTGTTCCTGGCCCGTACACTCTTACCCATGGGGGAATGGTCACGCTCCAGGACGAATTATCAGCCGTCCCTATTTTTGACGGGCTCCCCTCCTCTTTCTCGAGTTTTTCCGAAGCATGCGAGGAAGCTAAAAATATGGTGGATCCTACAATGGAAGCTAATCTTACTAAATTAATCAAAAACAAGCTTCGTGGACCTGTCAAAAATGCAATTCAAGATCGTCAATTTCAATCGATCGACGCTCTTCTAAAATTTCTTCAAAAATTATTCGCGCCTTCTGAATCTCTCGCCCAATTACAGGGTAAACTTGGCCGATTAATTCAATTAGAAAATGAGTCCGTTGTCGTTTACGGCACACGGGCCAGACAATTGATGCTAAATATTTTCAAAACCTATGCTAGAAGCGGCGGCGCCCAGCCTAGTTTCAAACTCGATACGGAACAGGAAACGATCCGTTGTTTTATATGCGGTCTCAAAAAGGGAATTCGAGTTAGTTCATATCGGTGCATAGATCTCGATACCGCAATTCGTGACGCTATTGAGTCCGAAAAAGAAAAAGCGGCTAGGGATGAATTGCATGGATATGACAAGGCTACGCGAGTAAAAACCGACGGCGTAGGGAAAAGAAATAGAGACCCCAGAATCACCGTAATTGCAGAAGAAAAATATTGTACGTTTTGTAGGAAACTTAATCACACCATCGATAAATGTTTTGCTAAAAATGGTTTTCCTCCTAAATTTGCCATTTGTGCTTATTGCAAAAATAAAGGTCATTCGATTAACGAGTGTAGAAAGAAAAAATGGAATGATGATAGGCGTAAACGCGAGGGCCGTGACACGAAATCGGGAAACGGGAATCGCCCCTCGACGTCAAGCGCGCGTCCAGAGGAAAAGGCGGTGAATTGCGCGGCTTTCCCCAAACCCAATCGATCGGTGCATTCGGAAGCTACCTTGTACACAATTTAAAAGAATTACCACGAAGTCCCACCATTATCCTCCAGCGTAAAAATCAAATTTGTCCTTTTACCCTTATGATCGATACGGGGGCGGAGTTAAATGTAATCAAGGAAAGCGCTTTGATGCCGTCCGATGAAATTGATAGGACTTTCACATGCCGTATTAATGGCGTGGGAAACGACTCACTCCGAACTAGGGGGACAGTGGCCTTCCCAGTTTTTGGTATCAAAATAACTTTCCATGTCGTGGGGGGTGAATTAGCCACTCAACAGGACGGGATAGTTGGCACGCCATTTCTTATAGCACATAGGGCGGCAATAGACTATGAGATGCAAACGTTGAAATTAAGAGATCAGGTAGTTAATTTTACCACGGAAAATATAATTATTTTGGCACCCAGAAGTAGAAAATCAGTATTTCTCGCAGTCACCCCAGATTCACCTCCTACTGGTTATTTACCAAGATTGCCATTGGGAGATAGGGTTGTCTTAGGCGAGGCACTGGTAGCCAGCCATGAGGGTAAGGTACATTTAGAAGCAATTAACGCAGATACGAGGTCTGCCGTAATTAAGAGTTCCCCGGTTACATTAGAGGCATTTGAAGAAGTAAACAAAGAACAAATAGCTTATCATATCTCCTGTATTGCCTTGTCATCAAATTCGGATCGATTCGAAAAATTAAAAGAATTATTGCGACTAGATCATTTAGAGGAGGAAGAAAGATTGGAAGTACTCTCCCTTATATCCCAAACGCAGGACACATTCCATATACCTGGGGAACCTTTGGAGGCCACCCATACAATGACTCATCGTATTATAACGACCGACCCATTACCTATCAACGCTAAACAGTATCGGTATCCTCACATTCACAAAGAGGAAATTAATCAACAAACTAGGGCAATGCTAGAGGCTGGAATAATAAAAAATTCTAAATCTCTCTATAATTCACCCCTTTGGATTGTTCCTAAGAAAAAAGATTTTCACGGAAATAAAAAATGGCGGCTCGTCATAGACTTTCGAGCGTTAAATGAGAAAACCATTGGGGATGCGTATCCCTT